AATCCAATGAAAAGTAATAAAAAATTATCTGCTGCATCGCCAGATCTACAGACACCATTTATTGTATCGGATTATTCAAAGGGGCTTAGAATTTCATCAATCAGAATAAAACACGTCCTTGGAAAATTTGGGCTGGAGAGATTGATGAAAATTTAAATGATATGATTTTCCAACATGCATTGATTTAAATATTTTATGGTGTTAATTAATTATGACAATGAGAAACGCATTCCATATACAATTTCCATTCATGTTATATTCATTCTGCGGTCATAATTATGTATTAATTCAACTCCCCGATCATGCATGAATTTTTGCAGGTGGTTACTTATATAGGAATCATAAATTCCGACCAATTTCGCTTATGATTTGAAGAATAATTTGTTTTTTTAATTTATGACATGAATAACGTGAGTGGTTGCTGGAGTTATGCCGTTGGATCGATATAGCCCTCCTTGTCTCACGCACGCCAAATGTCAGGTTCGGCCTCACTTTCCGACGAGGAAGCGAAGGTATATAATTTTCACGCTGTTTTGCCGCCTGACTGTTTTTCTTGGTTAGTTTTTGACCAGGAAGTCAAGGCATATAATTTTCACGCTGTTTTGCCGCCTGGCTGTTTATCGTGGTTTTTGACCAGGAAGTAAAGGTATATAATTTTCACGCTGTTTTGCCGCCTGGCTGTTTTTCTTGGCTAGTTTTTTTACCAGGAAGCGATAAGGCATATAATTTTCACGCTGTTTTGCCGCCTGGCTGTTTTTCTTGGTTAGTTTTTGACCAAGAAGTAAAGGTATATAATATTCACGCTGTTTTGCCGCCTGGCTGTTTTCACCTTTGCAGTTACGAAAGCAAAATACGTCCTGTTTTTAACATGATCATGATACCATGCAGGGATCGGACAAAATAAGGGAAATACCTCACATTTTGATATCGACATTTTTGAACATGTTATAAACAATGAAAACTTGACATATTTTCATGTTTTATTGTTTATTGTTGCTGCTAATTGATATTTTATCTTTGCATAGATATTTTTATCATGTTTTTGTGTCTATAACCTAATCTATTACCAATAAATAGCAAATTTCTCTGGCTTTCAAAGAGGCCAAATTTTATGTGCCCATATATGGCAGATGCTAGTGTGACAGAAACTTTCCGAATGCTTGACGTTTCTAGAGGTACTGTCTCAAAAGTAATTACTGCTTTTGAAAGAGAAAGTAAAACGTTCTAAGCAAAGCACAGGTCTGGCCGAATGTCGGAAATTGTCTGAGAGAGATCGTCGGTACCTAAATCGAATTGTGAGGGACAATCGAAAGACCGCGTCTGTTAAAATTACTTCCCAATGGGCATTTACAAAACCCAGTTTCCACAAAGACTGTCCGCCGAAAGCCGCACAGATTCGGGTTCTATGGAAGAGCCGCAATTAGAAAACCTCTGAATCAAATACCAATGCTTTAAAGCTTTTAAAGTGATGTAAAAACCTTCAGAATTGGTACCTCGAGCAGTAGAAATATGCTATTTTCTCTGACGAATCATCATTTACCTTATTTCCAGCCTCTGGCCGAGTTTACGTTTAGAGACAGCCAAAACAATCATTTGATCCCGACTGCCTTCTCCCAACCGTAAAACATGACGGGGGATTTGTGATGATCTGGGGTGCTATTCCTTGGAAATCCGGCGGACCAATGATTTCCCTTCACGGAAGAATCAACAACTATTTAGGAATTTTGGAGACTATATATTTGGGAATTTTGGGGACCGAGTTGATCCAATGATACAAGCACTGTTTCCGGAGAGGAACGTCAACATTCTCCCGATCCATACAGCTGGAATTGTTAAAAAATGGCACGAGGAACATTCTAATGAAGTTGGAGCATACTATTATCGAGAATTTATATTATCCAGAATTTATGTCGATCTTAGAGATACAAGTCTCGATTCCAGTCGCCATCGGCTTTAAAAGAGCTGAAGGGAGTTTTACCTGAAGAATTGGTTAAAATTGCTTTGGAAACCAGTTACAATTTGTATGAATCAATCACTCGCAGAATTAAGGCTGTAATCGCCGCAAAATTTGGACCTACACCAAACTAAAATATAATTAGTGGATTTCTCAGGGGTTTCCCTTATTTTGTCTGACCCCTGTATATTATGAATTATACGAAATAGATTTATCATTGTCAATGAAGTGCACTTGCTGCCATGATCTTGCTATTCATGATAAATACTATGAGGATTGTAAGCCTCATGATGCTCTGGAAAATAAGTCTCAGGCAACGCCTGTTTTCATGCTAATACGTACGTTCGAGCGGCTCTCAATTCAATCGTTCAAAAGCTAATAAATAATTTCAGTTTTCCCCATCCAAAAAATATGCCTTGTGTCAAAAGTGGTGCAAATCGTCAGCTGCTGTAAAGAATGGCGTGAAATCCGTTGAGTTAGTCTAAAATGCAACAACAAATCGTTACGCGAAGCTCAAAACATGCGTGAATGCTGAATAAATTCAGGAGATGCAGGTGAATGAACATACAGGCAAGCTGGAGGGTTCTATTACGATCTAATGGAAGCGATGGTTCTGAATAATTCGAACTAATGGAAGTGATGGTTCTCAATAATTCGATCTAATGGAAGCGATGGTTCTGAATAATACGATCTAATGGAAGCGATGGTTCTGAATATTACGATCTAATGGAAGCGATACTTCTCAATATGACGATTTAAACGAAACGACAATGTCCTAAAAATTACGATCTAACCAAAACGATGGTTCTGTATAGTGCGATTTGAACGAAAATATATCCCCGATGATCATCAAACGATGCTCTTGAATACTATGATCTTATAATTACCCACAGAGGTAATTACTGCACATGATCATAACCTAACACATGGTGCTGTAGTTATTATATATCACCATATATCACTTCGTAGTTACAGCATATCGACACAAGAAGGTAATAGAGAACGCTAGAGCTTGATGCGCGCTGTGTCAGATAACTGGGTCAAGCTACCCACTTTTCAGGCCGTAACTATGCTGGTACTGTTGGTCTTGCTAATAACGTCGACCAAAACTTAAGGTAAAATAAGTTATTTTATATGTTGAGCTGAAAAATATCGCGTTACGAATGTTCAGGATAATGTGTGTTTAAATAAGAGACAATCTTGCATTGTACAGCATCGGTCCTGCAGCATCGTTGGGGTAATTATATCAGCAAGTGACGTCATCTGATTACGGTTATCAGCGATTAGATCACTTCTCCGTGCAGCTTCGTACCGTATATTGGTAACGACGCACGAATTGTACGTAATTGTTACGTACAGCGTTGTAGCGATGCATGAATTGTAAGTAATTGTTTCGTACAGCGTTGTAGCGATGCATGAATTGTACGTAATTATTTCGTACAGCGTTAGTAGTGAGGCATGAACTGTACGTAATTGTTTCATGCAGCGTTGGTAGCGATGCACAAATTGTACGTAAATGGCAGTCAAGCAGCACCGGAATGGCGATTTTTCTTTTCTTGTTTTGATTTCGTCGCTCAGAATACACTCAGGAAACTGAATGGGTCGTATTGTATTAATAGCGACACTCTAGCACGAACAAATACGCGGATCGGCCCTATAGCCAGGCCATAGTGAGTCAGTTGGTGAACATAAAGGCAAAATGTGCATCACTATTTAGACACAGTCACACTTATTTCTCTGAGAGTAGGGAGCAATTCATGCAAGCGGCACACGCTATTCCATGAATTTCAGCAAATATTCAGCTTCGAGTACGTCACGAATTCCGTTAATAGTAAGATTAAAAAGATTGAAACGAAGTGAAATGCCAAATGACAAAACCGTTGAACAAATTTGTTATTTTTTATGTCTGTTGCTCGCCCCGCAACATTTGGTCGTCCGAGCGTGACTCGGAATTTCAGCTCCCAAAGGTCAGGTCGACATAGGTTGAAATAGGTTGCGACAGTTTGAGGTCAAATATATTGAGTCAAATAGGTTGAGACAGGTTGACATAGGTCGTAATGGGTTGATATAGGTTGACATAGGTCTGCATAGGCCTCATGGCATAGCATCTTCAGCGTTGAAGTAATAGGCCGGTGGCCCATTCTTGTGTTTTTCTTGACGCGTTCACAGACCCTGAGATCGATATTCAGTCTTCGGGAGAGCTAAGAGGCGGAATGTCAACGACTGACTTAAGTATGGTATAGTATAGTATAGCATAGTATAGTATAGTATAGTATAGTATAGTATAGTATAGTATAGTATAGTATAGTATAGTATAGTATAGTATAGTATAGTATAGTATGTATTGACCAGATGTTTTCGCAACTACCATGCACGTAATGTTTATGTTAGACTTCATTTTCAATTCAGACGACTGAAAGCGAGCAATATTTTAATAAAAAAAAAACTAGGTTACTGCGAGCAGAAAAGCAGCGTGTGTTACTGCGAGCAGAAAAGCAGCGTGTGAATACACACATTTTATTGCAGTATCTCAGCGTTAACTGATAAGAGCAGGGTTATAAAAACAAAACATAAGAACATGAATGAAAAATATAACAGTGATGCTAGCGCTGCACTTCACAGCTTCTTGTTTTGAAGTGCAGTAAACTCTAGATCTAAAAAATAATTTAACATAAGCTCAGAATAATTATATCGTCAGTATTTTGTTTAAATTACATTCCGTGATTCAAAAGTTCTTTATGTGTCGTGGTAGAGAAGTTTTATTATAAAAGAATATTTATAAATCATGTAGCAGTTAAAAGTTTTGAACACATCTGCAGGTATGAGTTATTTTCTACACATAAACACCGTACAATGTATTTAGTAAAAAATTCAAGTTTTTAATTCTGCTTCACGAGTTGAAGGAAAGCTAAGAAAATCGTGAAATTTTAAACCTAATCGTAACTGAATTTTGTCTCGAAGTTGTAACTTCAGTTTATATCTCAACTCTTCTTTTCAGCGTACCAATAAGAGTCAAAAATGTAATATATCTCTTCTTTTCTTACAGATTTTCCCATTAAATTACAATCCCGAAATTAAAATTTTCCCTTTAACTTCTTACACGGCCTGTGAAATTGTGGAAAAAATCACATTACAGTCGCAGTCTCATAGTTACATTCCAGTCTCAGTCTCATAGTCACATTCCAGTCTCAGTCTCATAGTCACATTCCAGTCTCAGTCTCATAGTCACATCCCAGTCGCAGTCTCATCGTCACATTCCAGTCACAGTCTCATAGTCACATTCCAGTCATATATTGTCTCATAGTTACATTCAAGTTTCAGTCTCATAGTCACATTCCAGTCTCAGTCTCAGTCACATTCCAGTCTCAGTCACATTCCAGTCTCTAGTCACATTCCAGTCGCAGTCTCATAGTAACATTCCAGTCTCATAGTCACATTCCAGTCTCAGTCTCAGTCACATTCCAGTCTCAGTCACATTCCAGTCGCAGTCTCATAGTCCCATTCCAGTCTCAGTCTCATCAGTATGGAAGAAGTCAAGAGTTCAGTAGAGGAGTTGCCGCTGGCTTCCATGTCGACATTGGCCGGCATTCCAGGCTCATATATGGTGAGTATTGTGAATAAAAATATATGGTGAGTATTGTGAATAAAAATATATGGTGAGTATAGTGAATAAAAATATATGGTGAGTATTGTGAATAAAAATATATGGTAAGGATTATGAATAAAAAATATATGGTGAGTATTGTGAATAAAAATATATGTTGAGTATTGTGAATAAAAATATATGGTAAGAATTATGAATAACAATATATGGTGAGTATTGTGAATGAATTAAATCGCATCATATCTGGTAGATATACTCCAGGTATTATATCAGAATACAAAAGATTTTAAATTATTATAATAACGTAGAATTATTGTAGCTTCCCGTTCATCATTCTAACACATTGTTTATGTTTTACTTCTGACGAAGGCACCAAGTGACCAAAACACACCAGCACTGTAATAAGTTATATATTATTATTATATTATATATTATAATCTATATTATTAACTGAAGTTGTGGAAAATATAATTTAACATAAATATCCAGCAGTCAATGAGACAATTGTTAAAGAATAAATCAGTTGAGATATTTAGTAACGATTATGCGTTTATAGATCAATTTCTAAAATGTATGCAATAAGCGATCGAGTAGAGTGGACCATTGAATTGAATGAAAGTTGAATGCCGCACTACATTATGTATGAGCTCTCGGCCTGTGCCTTCTTGGTGACAGAGAACAGTGGTCGCTATATTGACAGACTATCCTGCGACCAGTCATACCTGGCACCTACTGACAGACTATCCTGCGACTAGGCATACCTGGCTCCTACTGACAGACTATCCTGCGACCAGGCATACCTGGCCCCTACTGACAGACTATCCTGCGACCAGGCATACCTGGCCTCCTACTGACAGACTATCCTGCGGGCTGCGACTAGGCATACCTGGCCCCTACTGACAGACTACCCAGCAGCCAGGGTTACCTAGACCCTATATACTGACAGACTATCCTAAACCAGTCTGCGGCTTCCATGTTTATGCTGGCCACAGAAAACACAAAACACTACCGGGATTAAAATAAAGAATAAGAAAACTGCAAAAATCTCAGTTGCACCTAAAGGCTTTTAATGAAATTTTTAGAAAATTATCTGCAAACCAAGAATCTCTATAAATGGTTCAGAAACGATTCCCTAATAATTTACGTATTTAATTAATCTACATATCAATTAAATCATATATTTCTTTATAATGAAGTTTCCATTCGTTATCCGTTGTACCCGCAACACCTGAGATGATTCAATAATAATCTAGCCTATAACTGGGCAAGCGGTTGAATAAAAGAATTATTCTATTCATCATGGCGAAAAAATTGAAATTTCAACTATTCCAACAATGCCGGCGGTCAAGAAGATTTCATTCCGGTGGAATGGTCGAGACAAACGCCGCGCAAAAAACTACCCGTCAAAACATCTGCATAAATACTAAAATAGTTAATTCTAAGTAACCCAGAACTATACAGTCTAACATATTAAGAAAACTTCGGGTTTCTTAGGTCGAAGTTAATAGATGATTCAATACACGAACTTTTTAGTCGAGTTCATAGATGTTTCGACCATAATGTTATATGGTTTCTTCAAATATAAAAATGACATATATACAGGTTTGAACGCGAGTGTAAAATACTATTGCAATTTAATAGTATTTGCGTTAAACGGACATCAGTAATAGAAAAGTAAAACATGACTCTTACCGACTCATCGGAAGAACTTATGTTGCTTCCAGACTTCAGGGCCGCCCAGTGGTTACAGTTCAGAGTATTAATATTGGAGCGGGTAGTTGTGGGTTCGATCACAGCTACCTATCACAGTTCATAGTCAAATTGCATGGCGAGGAAGCCGGGCACTTAAGCGCAATAAAATGAAGCTGCAATTTGCGTTTTCGAGACTGCAACATGCTGTAAATGTTCTGCGATGTTAAGAATCGGCGACAGGTCTTAGCCTAATCAACACTCACACAACAATACTACACTAATATATTATTAATACGTAGGGCGAATTGCTACAACGCACGTAATACAGAAATGACTGGCCATGACCAGATTGACAACACTTCGCATCCTGTATTACCGGACGAACCTACTTGTCAACTCTGAATAATACAACTTGAATTATAAGACTTCCTGAAGCAAAACGTATCTCTAGTTGCTTGCGGACGTTGAATTTCCTCCTAAGCTTAATTCTCTAGAATCAGAAATTCTTTCAATCAATTTACGGACTTTTTTAATTCAACTTGCAATTGTACCTGAGGATTCTGGTACATTGTAGCAATTCTGGCGGTACATAAATCACCGGTCATAATTATGTAAAGTAAGATGGATGAGAGTAAGTGTGAATATCCTCTACAGTCTACATCAACATTTATAAACACGAATGTAAACTTGTTTCACGTGAATTTAAATCAGAGTTCTAATCAATCTAAATCAATCCCCACATTAATGTAATCCAGTTGAAACATGAATACTATAAATCCATCCTCACATGAATGCGTATAATCAGTCGTCAAATGAATTTATATCAGTCTTCACAAAGTGTAATAGTGCCTAACAGAAATTTTATCCATCTCTGTTTTTCCAAGGTTCTGGAGTGGGGGCGAGGCTTGGACTCATGGTTCTGGAGTCCATCGTTCTGGCTTCCAGAAGGCTACAGCTGGGAAGACCTCAAGTCTACTGAGCACAAACAGTATCCAGAGTTCAGAGAAATCCTAACCTACCCTGTAGTATTTGCCTTATTCATCTTGGCCTTTCGATTTTACATTCTTAATCCATTTTTGTTTGAGCCTTTCGCTCGCAGAGCTGGACTCAAATATAAGCGATACGTTCCTCCTCCTAGAAACGATTATCTTGAGAAGCTTCTTGATGGGAGATCAAATCTGCCTGAAAAGGAGTTGTGCGCCGCGGCCAAAAAACTTGGATGGACGACCAGAGAAGTAGAACGATGGGTTAGGCAGAAGAAACAGGGCGGCAAGCTGACTAAACTTGATAAATTTCAAGAATCGGTGTTCATTACGTCATACCACATAATTATCAGCATCTATGGGTTATACATAATGATAGGAAAGCCGTGGCTGAAGGATATTTCCCATACATGGTTAGGTTATCCTCTGCATGAAATCGACAACTGGCAGTGGTGGTACTACATCATCAGCGTTAGTTTCTACTTCGCCTTGTGCGTGTCTCACCTACGTTGTGGGCTCACATCTTACTTCCACCATGCGTGTACCATTCTCTTGTTGGTATTTTCATGGTCTTGCAACCTTGTACGTGTAGGGTCACTTGTGCTGCTCATACACGAGTGCGGCGACATCTTCCTACAGTCCATTAAGATTTGCCAGTACCTAAAGAAGCAGCGAGCAGCGGATGTTTTGTTACCATTCTTCCTTATTGTTTGGATTTCAACGCGAGTAATTTTATTCCCGTTTTGGGTTTTCAAAAACATGTATTTTGAAGCTCCAAAGTTTATTTTCATGCCTGCAGGTTATATGTTTTATGTCTTACTGCTAGGACTCTTAGCTCTGAACGTCCTGTGGACTGGAATGATAGGCCTCGTCATCGTCAAAAGCTGCTTGCAAGGTAGGACTGTTGAAGATATACGATCCGCTGAGTCCAGTAATGATGGTAATGATGAAAATGAGAAGGTGAAGGATCAATGATGGCTCAGATATATCGTATCATTCGTCATTTCAACATACTCTGGAACGCTCTGGTTTTATAAACGTCTGGAAAGCTCATTGAATTTTTTTTTTTTTTTTGTGATGTTAGCTGTTATGAAATTGTTTGAACTTGGATCTTTCATTGATTTTGTCGTCACATGAATAGTCGGGTGATTGCTAAGCCAGTGAATGAGGTTTTCCGATGAATAGAACGTAACTGATATGTTGGATATTTGTTGAATTTGAAGTAAAACAATTATTTTTTAACTATATTAGCTCTAGCGACGTATGCATCGTTCTCGAATTTTCTACGAAAATCAGTGATTTGGAAACAATATGTATATCAAGTTTAAAATACCTTGGTAATGTGGTTGGCCATATTAAAATTTTGAGTGAAGCCGATGCTTCGAATGCCACTTGGGAGATCGAAATAAAGAATAAACCTCTTGCCCTCCTTCAATAAAAATATGCGCGATGTAATATTACCTAGAATTTGAATGTACAGGGAAATTGTGCACTATTGTAAGCAGTGTTGTTTTTAATTCAATGGTTTAATGGTTTGCATGGAATTTTCCATCCAATACCTGTTCAGTGTTAAAAAGGCAGCTGCATTAAACTGCAGAATGTCACCTCATCATTTCTAGTTTTGTGTGTTGTTTTCATTTTGTAACATCTCTATTTGCTAAATATTTATCGATAGATCTTACAACTCAGATACGAATGACACTATGAATGTGAAGTTGGTCTCTCAAAAATGAGGGTAGACAATGTTATCGTGTTGTTTTAATACTGTTTGTTATCGTGTAACCATTTGTGAATGTGATTATATAATAAACAATTGAGAAGATTGTTACTTCCAATGGGTGCTTGGTGCTTGCTTATAATACCGGTATCAAGATTGATTTCTAAAAACAGAAGGGTGACACGCTTTATATTAAGGAATGATTGTTTGAAAAAGAGAGGTGGCTTACTTAATATTAAGGAAGATTGTTTCAACGAAGGAGTAACTTGCTTAATATTAGCGAAGATTGTTTAAAAAAGAGGACAGGCTTGCTCAATATTATAGAATTTTGTTTGAACTAAGGGGGTAAATTGCTTAATATGAAGAAAGATTGTTAGAAACTGAGAGGTGACTTGCTTAATATCAAAAAGATGGCTTGAAACAGAGGAGTGGCTTGCTTAATTAATATTATAGAATATTGTTTGAAACAGAGGGGTGACTTGCCTAATATTAAGGAAGATTGTTTGAAACAGAGGGGTGACTTGCCTAATATCAAGAAAGATTGTTGGAAACAGAGGGGTAACTTGCCTAATATCAAGAAAGATTGTTGGAAACAGAGGGGTGACTTGCCTAATATCAAGAAAGATTGTTGGAAACAGAGGGGTGACTTGCCTAATATTAAGGAAGATTGTTAGAAACAGAGAGGTGACTTGCATAATATTAAGGACGATTGTTTTGAAACGAAAGGGTGACTTGCCTATTATTAAGGAAGATTGTAAGAAGCACTTGTTAGCAATCGAGTTGATGCAACTGTAGATGTCTTCCTCGGAAGTCTTACTTATTGCGACTCCACTTGCTTGTTCCTATCATGCAAAATTCGCCATGTGCATTTTCATGTCATATGATTTATTTATAAATTTAAATCATATGAAATGAAACTTATGACAATACTGCCACATAAACGTAAGTGATGCCTCGCTTATTTTAAATTGTTTCTTTTCCAAATAATTGTTAGACGAATATTAATGATTGTGAGACATTATTTTTGACACATTGATTTGCACCTAAGAATGTTTTTCAAGAGAATTACAATTGCTTTCTGCTCAACATGACTCATGTTGGCTTTGTGCCTAAATTGTTTTTCATAAACTTGCATTGCGCATTGAACGCATAAACCTTTAATGGGACCAGAATGGAGGATAAATAATAGGTTTAGTCGAATGAAGCTATACGAGTAAACAGTCCATAAAAAACTATTTTTCGATGATAATGAACATCAGAAATCTTCAAAGCTTTTTCGCGTAATATGTCGGAAAATAGGAAGTGAAGTAAGTCAGGTACTCACTTTATATTGAAGTGAGGAACTTGGCCGAACACAAAAACAAGTTAAAGTGGCAACGGAATGAATTTCCGTGCATTTTACGATCAGAATTTTATGTAGATAAGTTTAAAGCATCGTTATCGAAATTTTTATTATGCTGCGTTGTATTTTTTTAAGCAAAATGTACAGCACACGTCACGCTTCTTATGTCGTAATATTTGATATTTAAATGTCATATATTACGATGGTTCTAATATTATAATATCTGCTGACATTGTTATTTTTCCGAAATTATAATATTTGACAAAATAAAGCTTCTGTTATTATTATAACTTGCACGCGATCTATGAGCTGGTCTCAGTTAGTTCAAAATCTGTCTTTGTTGCACAGAAATACCATTATGGTGTAAAACGTACATGTGATGTATTGTGCGGTGTATAATATCGCTGTGATGTATAATGTCACTGTGATGTATAGTGCCCGGTGGTGTATAATGCACTGTGATGTATAGTGCCCGGTGGTGTATAATGCACTGTGATGTAAAATGTCACTGTGATGTAAAATGTCACTATGATGTATGGTACCCCAGCGGTGTATAATGTCACTGTGATGTATAGTACCCCAGCGGTGTATAATGTCACTGTGATGTATAGTGCTCCATGGGTGTATAATGTCACTGTGATGTATAGTGCCCCTGTGATGTATCATGTCACTGTGACGTATAGTGCCCCATGCAGTGATGTATAATGTCACTTTGTTGTATAGCATCCCACTCTGTAAGCGTGTTACGCATGTACAATTGTACACTCGGTTCTGGTCAATCGAGACGTAAAACATGTCATAATTCACCAAAAAGCGTCAATATTTTGTTCAACAAAGCGTGAATGTTTCATTTCAAAAGAACTGTCCATAGAAGTATCCAAAGTTCCTTGAAAAGTGTTCCCGTTTTGTCTTGAGGTCAAAAATTATCGCGCGTAAATTAATGGATTAATAAAAAATAATATTAATGTGGTGTGCTTAAATCGAAACTAATGTACGACCAACAACTAATTTAACACAACCATCATTCATATACAAAATATAAATCCATGCAACCAATTATTAATGGATTGCTCACAATTCCCGCGTATGTGAATGGTTCTGCCAAGTAAAAGTGAGGACACCGCTGCAGGATGATGATAGTGAAGATTGTTTGATTTTTGGCAATTAAAGCTTTTGATACGCCGTAATGAAAAAATCGTGTCATGGGGAGAGAGTTATCCAGTAAAACTCTAGATTTGGGGTATCCTACTATACATCCTGGTAGGGGTATCCTACAATATATAGTGACTGGGGTATCCTGCAATATATCCTGGCTGAGGTATCCTACAATATATCCTGGCTGGGGTATTCTACAATATATCCTGGCTAGGATATCCTACAATATATCCTGGCAGGGGTATCCTACAATATATCCTGGCTGGGGTATCCTACAATATATCCTGGCTGGGGTATCCTACAATATATCCTGGCTGGGGTATCCTACAATATATCCTGGCTGGGGTATCCTACAATGTATCCTGGCTAGGGTATCCTATAATATATCCTGGCAGCATTAAATAAATAAAACGAAAACGCTAAGCAGATTTAGCACGTTCTCCTCTACAAACTGATGATGGAGCTCGCCTGCAAAACGTTTCAAGTTGTGTGGTTATATTTTTCGTTTCATCCGCTTTTAGTTTCATTTTATTTTACGATTTTAACAAACTAATGGTATAACTACTTATATACGGTGATGATGTAGCGTACTAAGGCAAGCTTTATAATCGAGTGAAGTTTAAATCCAAAGTCGTGTATTAGGAAACTGCATCACTACGAACGGAGTTGCAAAATGGAAATGAATTAATCAAAAGGATTAAGAATTGAAAGTTAGTAGAAGCTCTCGTTGCTTATCCATGTTTTAATGAAGTAATAAACTGATAAAAATTTTAACATATTATGACTTTAAATATGTTTTAAAGAGTTCACAAGTCTAACAGTTGATAACTTTTAGCTAGTTTCAAATAATGTGTTGAGTTCTGGGATAACCGTAAGTTTAAAACTATTTATTTTAAGTACGGAACTTCTTACCACTTGAAATTATGTCGTTAAGTGCTATTCGCTATTATTTTGTGTTTTACATCCTGCTACAAAATTCACCGCTCTTTGCAAATAAAGTTAAGCTTGCATTCTAACCTATAATTCGATTACAATTTTTGAACCAAAAAGCAATCGTAAACATTAAGTTTGGTGTGCACACGTGATGAATTTTTTATTTTATTCATGCCAAATTAACTAATTTATGTGGGATTTGTAAATTTAATTTTAGTTCCTGTTTATAACTTTTAACTTTTGTTAACGGATGTTATTTTTCTTGTGTATGCTCTTCAATTCCTATAGGCTCTGTTAGAACGTTTAATTTAATATTTAAGTGAGGATTATGTTTGTTGTTTGGATTATAATCAAGCGAACTGGTTGTTGAAAGAAATAAAAACGTCTTATTAAAGTTTGTATTCTTTCTACGAAATTTTACCATGGAATATCGTATGGATTAAGGAACGGAGAGAACGTTATTCATGATAACTTCCTTATCTTGATTATCTAAAACAAGCAAAAAGAAAGAAAGAGATAAGAAAGTAAAAGAGGTTAAGATAAGAAGACCCTCCAAAGGGAAGTTTCTACGAGAAAAGTGTGAAGATAAGAAGTCCTTTCAAGGGAATTTGAAAACTTATTGCAAACGAAAGTACTAATGAAAAATATGATGCAAAGAAAATACTAAAAGAACTTAGCGAATGGCTCGTTGTAAACTGAATGGTCGTAATAACAGAGTTCTAAAAGCAAAAATCATGAGCGTAAATATGAGGTAATGGTACTTAGCCTGAGTTATAAGAACTTATTTAATTTAATCACGCACAATCCATGCATAATTTGCATATATATTAACTTTCTAACGAAAATGAAAATAGCAGTGAAGCACAATGTGCTGCACGTCAGACTTGAAGGTGACGAGTATCGAAAGGCAGCGGCAAACAAGATTTTTCTCTAGATGAAAATGCTAGTAACACTGGATGACAAAACAGCAATGTAATTAAGTCCAAATTTAGCGTCACATATATGAGAAATAATTTTTTGGATATTCAGCAAAGAATGTCTAGGAAAATCACAGTACAAAAACTAACGACGAACGAATGGCGGTTACAAATATACGCTGGTATGTGATCAAAAGATTAATCTTGTAGGAAATGAATAATATTATAAGATTAATAATTAATAATTATTTTAGTATATCTAACTATGAGTGCTACATAACCATTATCATTATCGCGTAAGAATATTCAGCCGCCGATTGAAAATAAGTCAACAATAGCACGAGTAATTTATAAGAAAAATTTATAACATTTTTAAAATAATTCACCAATTTTTTAATTCTACTTCTCTTACATTTTATTGATGATTTTTCATTATTTGATTGCACTTGTTGATCGTACAACTTTTTTGATAACAAAATTATTAGTTGATTTTTTATTATACAGCCTTAATCTGAAAAGAAAGAGAGAAATATAGCGTGAGATTAGTTGGCTAGGTTCTAACTTGACTCCTGCTTCGTACTAGTTATTGCTTCTCTTAAAATTAAAACTGTAATTCTTTCCATCAATTTCATGACGTCACCCTTTTTTCACATAGATTAGATATTAGTCATAATAGTATTTTCGACGTAATATCATCAATATAATACGGTACATCAACATAATGCTATTCATATAATGCCATCAACTTCGCCAGTGATATAAGCGCAAGACAACATAGACTAGTATATAATAAAATAGACTAATATAAGACTCTACATACTGTTATTAAACTAGAAAATATAAATATATACAAAAAACTTGTAAGGCCGCGACAATCATTAGCTGACGTTTTTTAACGACTTATTTAAGGTAAAAAAAACCTTTCCTGGTAGGACCCAACCTTAATAAAATTGTAAAAAAGTATATGAAAATTTATTTTTACACCTCTAACCCTAACTCTAACCTTAATCTAACGAAGTTTTTCGTTAATTAGCATGTCGCATAATTGCGTTCATCTTTTTTGTGTCGTACTATTGGCAAATACTAATTATAGGTAGATTTTGCGGCATGGGTACATTCCGAGACTGTGCTATGCTAAGAAAATGTCGCACTATTGTTGAAAGTATGACTAAAGTTTTGAAAAAAAACAATACAATGTGAGGTAATATACCTATATGATTGTCAATACAATATACAATAACCGACAATATGATTGTCGGTTTTGATCAAACAATTCCGCGACAGACATGTCGCACTATTGTTGTAAAACCGTCGTACAATTACTTAAGAGATGTTAAAATGGTATAACATGAAGAATATATACATCAGAAAACTGGCGTCAAGTGCATCAGCTGCTACATCGTGACGGGTCTAGTCCCCCAGACGGGCCTGGCGTCGTGACGGGTCTAGTCCCCCAGACGGGTCTAGCCTCGTGACGGGTCTAGTCCCCCATACGGGCCGGGCGTCGTGACGGGTATAGTCCCCCAGACGGGCCGGGCGTCGTGACGGGTCTAGTCCCCCATACAGGCCTGGCGTCGTGACGGGTCTAGTCCCTCAGACGGGTCTAGTCCCCCAGACGGGTCTGGCACAGCGGGTATACGCTGGACGGGTCACAGTCCAGGGAGCGGCTCAGGAAGCCTGCCACGTCCCGCGACGTTGACCCGCCCGCCCATGTGGGACTAGTGGGCGTGGTGGGACTGGTGGGACTGACAGGATCGGCGGGACTGGCGGGACTGTTTGGACCGGTGGGACTGACAGGACCGGCGGGACTGGCGGGACTGGTTGGACCGGTGGGACTGACAGGACTGGCGGGACTGGTTCGACTGGCAGGACACACGCGTGTCCCATCTATCACCAGCAACATCGGGTCTGGTTGCTGGTGCAGTTCCTATTAAAAAAATGGTACAGGTCCCATTAAAACTTTATCAACATTTATACAGGCAATAATATATATTTCGACTACATTTCCTAGTAATTATCATGAAGTATTCATTTGTCCTGAATAATATTTACCTGCGGGTCTAGGCGCTCCGTGACCCAGCGCCAGGCCGCTGAATTATTCATATTGTCGTGCGAAAATCCCACCCAATATGAACTGTTCGATGAATCTGTATGGAAATACTGGATTATTAGCATCCCTGTATCATATCCGTGAGTTAAAACTTATCTATATCCATATAATCCATATATTATAATATATATAGGTATGGACATATAATAGAATATGTCCATATCCATAGTATTAATCCATATTAATAAGCTATTCACGCCATGAATAAGGGGTTTCTTTGAATCATTCTATGTGACTAATTTCAACATGAATAACTGCAGGTGTAATCGCACCACAAGTTATTCAATCACTGCGTCACTGAGACGTGAATGCTAATTTTCTGGATTACTCAATTGACGTTATTTTCGTCGCTGAAAAAAAAAAAAAATTTACTTGAATTTTATACTACAGTTTTGTGCGTTGTGAACACGTGAATTGTGCGCGTCCCAAGAGCGATCAGTTTATACAGGAAGATTCACAGAAACTTCCTGATTTGAAAGCTCAATAGAGAAAGAACTAGTGATGATATCATTGCGATATAAATCTTGCTAAAAAATACATTACCTGAGTTTTTTGTATCGGGTGTCCCAAAAAATACGATATTCAACTTTGAATGGCTGTAACTCGAAAAGTATTATAGGTAAAAAAATTTGGAAGGTCAGGATTTGTTCCCTATGTTTTTCTGCATCTCTCCACCAAAAATCAGACAGATCGATGTAGTCATAAGCGTTTGATAGAACTTTCAGTGACATGTGCTAAAATCGTGCTTGCGCAAAGTTTTAGTAAGATCATTTTGCATAATCATTACGTTGTCTTGACA